GGAGTTGAATAGAGCTAATTGGCTAGCTCCACCCCCTATTGACTCACAGATGCGACTCACCAAAGCCCCACCTGCTCAGCAACAGACACACTCTCCCCAAGTGTTTTTTAAAATAATTTAAACACTCACCCACTCAAAATGACTGCTCAGAAACTGCTTTCCTTCTCCTTCCTGGCAGGAACTGGTCTCCAGAGTCATGGTTCAACACTACACCACACTACAGGCTGATGAGCCCTTTTCAACTGAAAAGGGGTCAGAGGTACAATTGGTGGGCACAGTCCCATTTCTTCCTCCTGCAAATGAAATACATGGACTGAAGGAACCTTTGAATAGTTTAGAGACAAGACATTGTAAGTGATTTATGGATTTCCATTGCAGATTGAAAATGGATTGTGAAGTTTCATTCTTGCAATAAATTCAAATGGAAGTGTGCACATGTACACAACCCAAGCATGCATCTTCATGCTGCAATTAACATAGCCGGATTCTTCCAGCCCTCTATTTATAGGTCCATTTTTTTTTCCTTCTAAAGCTGTTAAGTCCAACGTCCTTGCGAACGCCAGCTCAGCACTTTCTGGGTATCAGTGCATTTCTTCAGCCAGCGTTAAGCAAGGACAGCTTATTAGTTACACCATGATGGACTGGACCCAACTATTGAAGGAACTTTCCAAGGTAACAATTGAATAATAATGCTTTGGATTTTACTTATTTAAAAGGAGAAGTCCACAGAAGCAAGATGAATGACTGCTTTACCTTAATCAATTGAGATACTTTCTTGTGGGTCTAAACTGACCTTGGATGACTCCAGAAGGTTTATAGCATTCTGCATGGTGTAGAGAAAATGACATTTAAAAATATTTCTTCTGATAAATTAGAACCTGGTATTATCTAATGAAATTGATTTAGTTTAAGGACAGACAAAAATAACAGCTGAGATCTTATATCACAGCCTATGTTTTGTAATTTTATGAATCTTGCAGAGATTCATTGCAGAGAGCTGGCATGGTGTAGTGGTTTGAGCATTGGACTATAACTCTGGAGATAAGGGTTCAAATCCCCACTTGGCCACAGAAACCTGCTGAGTGATCTTGGGCAAGGCACACACTCTCAGAAAACCCCATGATACTTCTCCTTAGGATCTCCATAAGTAAAAAATGACTTGAAGGCACACAAGAAGCTACCCTGCAGAAATGCAATGAAACTCTGGCTATTATTGAATTGCAAAGATGCACATCCATGAAACAGTGTTCCAACGAGCATTGGATACTTTTGATATGTATGTGCCTTCCCTCCATTCCATCTGCCATGGTCCTGGCCTCCAAGGGAGAGAAGAGGCAGGCCCAACTCTAGCCCAGAGACAGAATAAGGGCCCTCACTCCATTCATCTGCCATTGCCCTGGCCTCAGAGGGAGAGAAGAACTGCTGGACTTGATCCTCTTCCCCACTGGTGTCTTGTCTTTTTTTTATTGTTAGCCTGAGGACAGGGAACTGGCTAACTAACAATCTGTAAGCCACTCTGAGAGCATCTCTAAAGAGCAGGACAATTAATCATCATCATCATTATCATCGGGGACTCCCATTGTGCTCCAGAACTTCCTAGCTGCTGTCCTGATATGCATCCATGAGCACTCCTCATGCTCTGTAGCACATCAGTCACTTCACTGGCCACTATTGCACAAGGGACACCTGTACATTTTATAACCTTTAGGTTATTACAGATATTACAAAACTACTCAGTTCAATTTCGCATACATGTAAGACCATTTACAGAGAGGCAGTGTGGCATAGTGGTTTGAGTATTGGACTATGGTTCTTTAGAACAGGGTTCAAGTCCCAGTTCAGCCATAAAATCCACTGGATGACCTTGGGCAAGTCATCCATCTCTCAGCCTCAGAGGAAGGCAATGGCAAGTCCCCTCTGAAGAAACTTGCCAGGAAAACCCCGTGATAGGGTTGCCATAAGTCCAAAGCGACTTGAAGGCACACAACAACAACAAACAACAACAACAACAACAACAACAACAACAACAACAGTCATTTATGAAGATGTGAGTCCCCAACAGAATGCCAGCTAAAGTATTTTATATGTTAACTATGTGCTAAGTTGGGTGGAAATCCCACACAATACCTAGTTGGCTTATGGAATTCTCTACCACTAAGTTATATGACTTTTAAAGAGGATGAAATAAATGCATGGAGAATGAGACTCATATGGTCTTTCAGATATTGTTGGACTCCAGCTCTAATCAAGCCCCATCACTAGCTATGTTAGGTAGCACTGATGGAGTCATGATAGCTAAACAGAGGCTTCATGTTTCAAAGCAGTTGTTGTTGTTGTGTGCCTGCAAATCATTTTCAACTTATGGCGACCCTATTTCTTGGCATGTTTCTTAAAAGGGGGTTTGCTGTGACTTGCCCAAAAAGGTCACCCAATGGGTGTATATGGCTGAGCTAGGATTCGAACCATGGTCTCCAGAGTCAAAGTCCAATGCTCAAACCACTACATCACATGTAGTAGTTACCAGTAAGCTACTGAAAACTGTTTGCTGGGAAGGACTGTTGCCTTCATTCATTCATTGTGGATTTCCTGAAAGCATCTGGCCCATATCAGAGCTTGGAAAAGTTACTTTTTTACACTGCAACTCAAAAAATCCCCAAACTGGCATGGCAAATCTGGCTGGGCATTTTGGGGAATTATAAACAAAAAAGGTAATCCCCATCCCACCAGCTTTAGACTAGCCACTTTGGTGAACAGAATGTGAGACTAGTCCAACCTTTGGTCTGACTGACCTAGGAGAGTTCTTTATGTCTCTTTGAGCAAGGATAATTCTAGAATCAAAGTGAAAGAATTCAGAGCTCAACTGCTCCAACCATATAATGAAATGCCAGGTTGATTCAGACCAAAGGCCTATCTACAACAGCTTTCTGTTCCTCCAGTGGCCAAGCAGTTGCCTATAGGAAGACACAAATTAGATATAAATACAATTGTTGTTGTGTGCCTTTATAATTTCAGACTAATGGTGACCCTAACAAAATCCTATTGCAGGGTTTTTCTGGGGCTGAGAATATGTGACTTGCCCAAGTGAGGAATTGACCCTGGTTTCCAGAATCGTAGTCCAACGCTCAAACCACCACACCATACAATAGCACCCTCTGATTCTGGAAGTAATATACAGCCACCATGCTAGCTAGCATCAAAGCAGCTTTCTGTATTCCTACAATTGATATACTCATATATTCCTTAGTAGAAAGAATATAAGAAGGAATATAGGAATAAGAAGGAATATAGAAGGAAGTAGAGCCAGCATGGTATAGTGGTTTGAATGTTGGATTTTGACTCTAGAGATCAGGGTTCAATTCCCAGCTAGGCCATGGAAACCCATTGGTGACCTTGGGCAAGTCGCACGCTCTCAGCCTCAGGGGAAGACAATGGCAAATCTCTGAACAAATCTTGCCAAGAAAACCCCATGATAGGATTGCCTTATGGTCACCGTAGGTCAGTAATGATTGAAGCACACAACAACAACAACAACAACAGCATTCCTTAGTTGTCTAACCTTACGTTCAGGAGCAACTGCATACTCCTCTATACAACACTGCTGTTGCTGCTGTTGTGTGCCTTCAAGTCATTTCTGACTTATGGAGACCTGAAGAGAGATCTGTTACAGGGTTTTCCTATCAAGATTTGTTCAAAGAGGGTTTGTTTTTGCCTTCCTCTGAAGGTCAGAGTGTGACTTGCCCAAGTTTCTTGTTATTAACTGTTCACAAGTCAATTTTGACGTGTTATCAACAGCCCTGCCCAGTTCTTGTGAATTCAGTGCCATGGCTTCCTTGATTGAGACAATCCACACATAATGTGGTCTTCCTCTTTTCCTACTGCCTTCTACAACCTTGATAGTATTGTCTTTTCTAGTGAGTCATGTCTTCTCCTGATATACACTGGATCTTGTCAAAAACACAGTCACACTTATACAAACACAAACCTTATATTATAAATTGAATTATCTCTCCATGTTCAAATTGAAACCTTTAGAAATGTAAGAAATTTCCGAATTTTATTTAAATAAATCAGGTGTGGTTACAAGAGGGGCATTGTGTGTGCATCTGTGTGCATGATACACACTGCAGTATACACCCACATACATAAGAGTAAGTCCTATTGAACTTAATGTGATTATTTCACAAGAGAAACGCGCAGGCTTAAAATGGCAGTTATCCAAATGTGTCACCGAAAAAGCTGTGTGAATCTTTGGAATTAAACACAAACTTGGCCACTATTACCTCAAACTGAAGCCAAGCAATTCCATAGTGAGTTCTTATGTTACGCTAATGAAAATTGACCTACTAATTGCAGCAATCAGTTGATACCTATTTGTGGTTACCATCAGTTATGCTTTACATTGTTTCTGTTGCATGAAGCAGTTACTATGGAACTGGAGTAGAGCTCAACAAAGTTGGTTTTTAAAAGACAGCTTTCAGAATTCTCCAACCAGCATGGTGATGATGGGGGTCACATAAATTTGTACAAGGTATGAACAGGAAGGAAATCCAGGAGAAGTTTATCTTTTTGGACATAGACCAGTGCTGGTCTCCAACAAATACCAAGCTGTTGGGAAAAAAGCAGATCTTAGTAAGAGAGGTAGTGATACCATGTGGTGTTCTTTGTCACGTGTCAATAGTGGCTTCATGTTATCTATCGCAAGAAATGTACCTTATCCTTCATTTGCAGCAACAATCACAGTATACCCAGCTGCTCCTTCACATTCCTCTTATGGGGACCATGCATTAAAAGCAAATCTATGCGGGTGAGAGAAAAATAATCTGGTAAAGAAAACAGATTAATATTCATCCTGGTTCATCTGTCTGCCCCATTCCAATCCTGCACTAAGGATTGTTGGAAAAGGAGAAAATACCTGTCTGTCTTTCTCTGTGTTTGTCTCTTTCAGGGATGGAGAACATGTTGTTTGGACTGTGGTACCATCATCTTCCATCCAATAAAAGCTGGCGGCTTCAACAATAGTGGGGCAGTGAAGGAGCTATCCACAGTGCTGAAAATAACTTTTTCAGGTTTGGACTAAAACTTGAAGCAGATTCACCATTCCACTGACAGACCCCTTTCCACTTTACTGGAGTCGAAACCTCCCAAACTGGAGAATTTTCATTTTCATCTCCTGCCTGGAGATGACCCATGAAAACTGCAGACTCAGGGCTATATAGCTGAACACACAATGCCAACATCATCCTCTGGGACCTCTGGAAGATTATGGGAGGTCCTGGAGGATGCCATCATTGTTTTGCCTCTGGCCATATGTAGCCAAATGGTTTTGAGCTGCCTTCAGCTAGTGATATAAACTGATTGCATAATTCTTCTCATGCCTGAAGAAGGGCAGGAAATATAATTACTATTCTCTCTACATGAGAAGTGTAGGATAATTTAAATGGGAATGAGGAGATAGCTTGGTATAGTTTCTGAGGAGGAATACAGTGAAGGCAAGCTGGAATCAGTTGCACTTCTGCTGTTTACCTGCACTGAAGCGATAAAGCAATAAAGTAATAAAAACATCAAGAATATCAAATTTCAAATGAAGTTCTTGCTCATTTACTTCATTTGCAAATGAACCATATGAAAAAATCTCACACCTGGGCAATCCAGTGGCAAATTCCTCCGCTCATACATAGAAATTTAAAGGGGCAGAGAAATAAAAAAAAAATCTGTATGTTTAGCAAACTGAAATGAATGATCTTCTCATCCCCACTTCCAGCATCCCATGGTTATCAACAGGGCAGAGAAAGAATGTGAGTTCTACAGCAGAGGAGAGAGAGTGGACATTTGACCTGTCAGAAGTTTTCACACTATTATCTCATGTAAGATCTGGGCCATGATTAAACAGTTTAAAGGGCCTGATTTGATATCCCTTGT